TTTTTTTTTTCTTTCCCTGTCTACCCTATGTATTGAGGGGGTGGGAATGATCCTCCCTGTAAAGATCTGTTCCCTCTTTTGAGCTACTGCATCCATAGGTGTAGGTCAAATTCATCAAATGGTATCAAATTACTCTTCTTTTCCTCTTCTTTCTTCTTCTAGTTGAGCTCTGATCATCCAGCCACTGAAGCCAGGTCAAGTGGGTATTATCTACAAGTGTGGGTGCTCTTGTGCATATGACCTCTCTTCTTATCAGCTAGACACTTCACTCTCCACTCTAGTCCTCTGTGGTTATGTCACTGACTCTGGGCCCAGGAGTCCCCAAGTCTTGCCATACTGCTGATCAACCAGGTCTCCACCTGGGTTCACAGGAGTGTATTGAACGTGCTTAGACTTAGCTCATAGCTTTTTTTCCCTCACTTCCCCTTATCGGTGACCAACGTGGTTACCAGTCAGAGAACATGTCTGCTTGTGTATTCCCACTGAGTGTCAGTCTTGGAATGGGGTTTGCTCTGAGGGGACCCGACCCCTTGCCTTGATGTCTCCTGGGTGAGTAACTTGCTTGTTCTTGTAGTAATCAGTCGAACTGCTGTTATTGTTTTTTATTTTCCCTGTTGGTCTTTCTTTCAAGAAGTATCTTCTGTTCTTCTAGCCGCTCCAGGCTGGTCTGCTTGTCCTTCCAAGTGGAAATTTCCCACCTCAGAAGATTCTGGATGGGGTTCAGGATTCCACCTATGGTTTTATGTAATGTAGAGGCTCTACAGGAAGCCTCCCTCACTGGGCACGTTGTAGCCTCATTTTAGGTATTCCAATCAGTTATAGGCAGAAGACAGACTTACAAGCTTTCTATGGTGATATTTCTGGCTATTCCTTTCTCTCCCCCCAAATGTCTATTTTATAATGGTGTGCCAGGGAAACCAAGATTCAAAAGACAGCCAAGTATCTTAACATTATTTCCCCCCTTTTGCCCATTCCAACCAAGTCTCAATACCTATATCCCAGAGCCCTGTTATTCCAAGGTTGAGCATACATCATTATTTACCTCTGTCTGGCTTAGCCCTTGCAAACCTGCCTGATTGTTTTTTCCATCCATCTTGTTCTTCCATTCCCCTTCCCCTTCCCCTTCCCCTTCTTGTGTGTTGCCCCCCTCCCTAGCACCCAACCTATCCTATGTCTATTCCCTACCGTGTGCTCCACCTTCCTCTCTCTCCCCTCAACCCACCCCACACATCCCCGTAACCAGCAAAGAATCAATCTCCCTCCTCCTCCTCCCCCGCCCCTTTAGTATAGGTTCTTTTTCTTAGTCTTTTACAGTAGTGGTCCGATGCAGTATTTCTCCTTTTGCAGCTGGCTAATTTCATTCAGGAGGCCTGGTGTGGCGCTATGGTTAATGCGTCAGACTTGCAAAGCATTTGAACTGCAAGGGTGGTGGTTCAAGCTCACCAGCGCTCCTCAGAAACCCTTACAGGGTCACTATGGGTCGGAATTAACTCGACAGCACTTTACAACAACAACAACAACAATTTCACTCAACATAATGTCCTCAAGGTTCATCCATGTTATGTGATAATTTACAACTTCCTTGTTGTTCTTCAGGGTGGCATAACACTCTGTCTACTATTTTTTAATAAGATTTATCTCCAAAGAGGGTTAGCATTTCTTTCTTTTTCTTTTTTTCATTTGGTCACTGCAAATTCCTTATTCTAACTTTATTATCTTGCTATTTTAGCATACATTTTGTAGACTCTTAACAGTACAACTCCAAAATTGTCTTTAGAAAAATCTCTTGTTTAAAACTCTCTATATAAGTTATGTTGTTGCCGTTGTTAAGTGCCATCAAGTCAATTCTGACCCACAGACACCCTGTAAAGAGTCTCTGAGGAGCAACTGATGAGCTTGAACTACCAAACTTGTGGTTCAAACCAACTTTGCAGTTCAGCGCATTAATCCACAACGCCACACCAGGACCCCACATACAAATCATACGTGGCAATAATTTTTTTTCTATTTAGAATGTTAACTTTGAAGCCCTGGTGTGGTGCTGTAGGATGGAACTGCAAGGCTGGTGGTTCAAACTCACCTGCCATTTCTCAGAAAACCTATAGAAGGTTGCTATGAGTCGGAACTGACTCAATGGCACTTAACAACAACATATAAGGTATATGTGGTTATAATTCTCTTCTATTTAGAATGTTAACTTTGGCTTAAGATCTACACCTTCCATGTTTTCCTATTCATTTAAATAGAAAACATAAAAATGTTTTTTAGCCCTGACTTCAGCCTGAACTCACTTTTTAAGTTTAGGCCCATTCTTGCCTGCTTACATTTTTTGCTCTTAGTTACAGTCCTCCATTATCTACTTTTGTTTTTTTATGCTGCCAATTTTAAAATACAACTTTACTGAAGACATTATATTTCCACTTACAATACAGCACTAATAAAGTGCCATGTCCCTTCCTTTCCCGATGCTCAGAGCTCCATATTTAAGTATTGAGAATGCCCAGAAATTTAGCACAGCACTTCTGATTTTTAAAAACTGCCACTGAATGTACTACAAATGGGGTCCTTCAATGTTTTAATGTGGAACAATGCAAAAGGTGTCTATGCTCAGATACTGGCTTTATCAACCTCCTCAGTGGTGAGTCCATAAGAGGCACCACCAGATGGAGGAGTTCCACCACCAAGGAAGCTCCCAGGCATTCTTCTAGGCAAGCCTCCGGCACTCTGGTATAACTTGGTAATGATGGGGTTGCAGACTTTCTCCAGTTCTTTCTGTTTATGTTCCAATTCTTCTTTCTCTGCAGTCTGACTCTTATCAAGCCAGTTGATAATTTCATTACATTTATCAAGAATCTTCTGTTTGCCTTGAAGTTTTTCATCTTCAACTGTTACTTTCATATTAAATGCATAGGATTCAAGTGAATTTTTAGAGGATATGTTGTTATCCTGTTGTTTCTCATTTTCAGCTTTGTACTTCTCAACTTCCTTTACTCAAGCAGCCCATGTCATAAGTGATGGCAATCTTGTCCTCTCTTTTAGTCCTCTTACCCACAGCAGAAACACTGAGGATACCCACTGACATCAATATCGAAAGTGATTTCAATCTGAGGAACACCACATGTGCAGAAGGTATGCCAGTAAGTTCAAATTTGCCAAGCAGGTTGTTATCCTAGGTCATGGCACATTCACCTTCATAAACCTGAATGAGTACCCCTGGCTGGTTGTCAGAGTAGGTTGTGAAGGTCTGTGTCTGCTTGGTAGGCATGGTACTATTGCACTTGATGAGGACAGTCATGACTCCACCAGCAGTTTCAATACCAAGGGAAAGAGGTGTGACATCCAGAAGCAACAAATCTTGAACATTTTCAGACTTCTCTCCAGATAAGATGGCTGCCTGCACAGCTGCACCATAAGCAACAGCCTGGTCAGTGTAGATGTTGCTGTTGTTGTTGTTGTTAAGTGCCATCGAGTCAATTCTGAGCCATTGCAATCCTGCATAGGGTTTCCAAGGAGCCACTGGTGAGCTTGAACCACCGACATTGCAATTCAAATGACTTTGCAGTCTGACGCATTAGCCCACAGCACCACACCAGGATACTCTTGTTCAATTCTTCGCCATTGAAGAAATTCTAAAGTAGTTTCTGAATCTTGGGAATCTGGGTAGAGCCACCCACCAGGACAATGTGACTTGTCTGTGACTTGTCTAGCTTGGCATCCCTAAGAACTTTCTCCACAGGATCCAGGGTGCCACGCAATAGGTCAGCATTCAATTCTTCAAATCGGGCCTGGGTAATGGAGGTACAGAAGCCAATACCTTCATACAGAGACTCAATCTCAATACTGGCCTGTGTGCTAGAAAAGAGAGTGCACTTTGCGCGTTCAGAAGCAGTGATGAGGCAGCGGACAGTCCTCTTATTCTTGCTAATGTCCTTCCTATACTTGCACTTAAACTCAGCAATGAAATGGTTGACCATTCAGTTGTCAGAGTCTTCTCCACCTAAGTGGGTGTCTCCAGCTGTAGATTTGACCTCAAAGATTCCATCTTCAATAGTGAGGACTGACACATCAAAAGTGCCTCCTCCCAAGTTAAAGATTAGCACACGTTTCTTTCAGCACCAACCTTTTTGTCTATACCAAATGCAATAGCAGCAGCAGTTGGCTCACTGATGATTCTGAGTACATTGAGGTCTGCAATGGTTTCAGCATCTTTGGTGGCCTGTAGCTAGAAGTCGTTAAAGTAGGCCGGTACAGTGACAACTGCATTGCTAACAGTCTTTCCAAGGTAGGCTTCTGCAATTTCCTTCATCTTTGTTAGCGTCATAGAGGACACACGTCTTCTGGATAGAAACTTTTGGTCTCTGCCTTATATTCTACTTGGACCTTGGGCCTGCCTGCATCATTCACCACCATGAATGGTCATACCAGACTGGACAGCGTCATCAAATCATCTTTCAATCAAACGTTTGGCATTAATAATAAACAGTTTTAGTGGTATTCATGGCAACTTGATTCTTTGTGGCATCACCGGTCAACTGTTCGGTGTCAGTATAAGCGACATAGCTTGGGGTGGTTCGGCTGCCCTGATCATTCACAGTGATCTCCACTTTCCTGTGCTGGAAGACACCCACACAGGAGTAGGTGGTGCCAAGATCAATGCTAACAACAGGTCTCTTAGACAGGATTCCTCAGCAAGGTCCCAATTAGGTGAAGAAAAGCAGACCACCACACAAAATGAGCCTCCAGTATCTTTTATATTCATCTTTTTTCAAAGCAGAGCACATTGAAAAGCTCCCTAGGGTGCTCTGTAGACAACTGAATTTAGTCAATGTTCCAATTCAGTTAAGGGGTCTTCTTTTCAAGGGCTTTGTGCCCTAAGGATTAAACCCTTTCAATTACCACAATTTTCTGAAATTGGATCCTTTCCCCCATTTAACCTTGGATTCTAATCTCACAAGGTGGTCGTTTCTCCAAAATTTGCCACTGCTTCCAATTTGCCAGCAAATCTCAGTTCTTGGTTAAAATCAGACTTACAGTATTAATTCCCCAGGTTACCTCCTTTGCCTTCAGAGACATAAATCCAAGGACCATGAAAATGTCTAGATACATTGTCATAAGAATTCTACCAAAAATACTGACAGCTCAAGTTCTTTTGTGCCTTACCTCTACACTATTTTCTCCACTCTGCCAGGCATTATAAAGGCGATTCTTTTGCTCGAATGAACACACCTTCTATGTCTTACTCAGTAGCTGTTACAGAGACTGAAGTAAGCTAACCTCTCTAGAGTGTACAGAAATCTCAGCACCAAGACAGAAAGGACTCACCTTGTATCTAGTCTGTTCTCGATCATAAATTTTTTTCAGGGATACCACTTTGGGAGAGAAGAAGTTTCCTAGTTTGGCAAGGTAGACCCCATTCCTAAGCCCCTCCTCCAGTTCTGTGGTGGGAGGCAGGTCTTCCCCTAAGCATGCTTCCATCCACCTGCACAAAAGAAAAGCAAAAAAAAATTAATAATTATAAAAAATAACAAAAGGAAAGCAGACATGAAAAATGACAGTGAAGGTCAAAACTCTAATTTAGTGATTTTAAGTTTCATTGTCATCATCTTTGAGGCAGTTTAAATTGAGCATTAAGCAACACTCTTTTAAGATCCAACTGTACACTGTCCGTGCACTGACCCAGCGAGATCAGTCACGAGAAAGACTGCTGAATGAATATGTACGTTACAGCCTTCTCCAAGTTCCTCTGAACCGCAACAGGGCTAACCAGCTGGCTCCTAAAATCCTGGCTGCCCCAGAAACCTCACACCCTTCCCCTCAATCTTAAATTGCTGGTTAAGAACTCCTAACAACAATCTTCGGTAACTGATGCCAACATTAGTTGCTAAAGTTCTCTTACAGTTTCAGGGGTGAGAACATACACTTAAATTCTAGGCTCAGGTTTTAAGATTGTTGGGGGAAGATATAAAAAGACAGCTTGGGGTCACTAAAACAGTCAACTAGCTCAGGTAAAATTGTGAAGGAAATGCTTGTGAAAGTAGTAAACTATGAATTCTGAAGTATTTGGGGGGTATCTTTTTGTGGGGTATGTGTGTGCCTGTGTGTATATATTTGCTCATGAGATTTCAGCGTAGGCCAAGATAAAACACAGAAAACTTTAGTTGAATATATTTCCCACCAACAGAAATGTAGGTAAACAGATAATTAAAAATCATTTAAGTCAATGGTTTTTAACCAGTTTTGAATCATAAAACCCTTTGAAAATCTGAAGAAAGCTATCAGCCCTTCCCTAGAAAAATGTACATCTACTTAAATTTTTATATAATTTTAGAGATTTCATTAACTTGATTTAAATTCAGATGATAAAATCCTGAATTAAAATGATTCTATTCAAATTTTTACATCAAATTTTTTGAAGTTATCCCCACATTCTTCACCTTAAGAGAACAAAATAAAGCCCAAAATACTAGATCTTTTCCTAACGTGTTTCTTTTGAAAAGCCAAATGAAAAACACTCCAAAGATGTAACAGACTGAAGTAGAAACTAGGTTTACTGGTGGAACAGGTCCCCTATAAGACTGAAACATTTATAGTGTTTATCAATTGTTGTTGTTAAGTGCCTCTGAGTTGATTCGGACTCACTGTGACCCTGTACAGTGTTTCAAAGAAGTGGCTAATGGGTTTGAACAGCTGAAACTTGGCAGTTAGCAGTTCAGTGCTTATCCTACAGTGCCACAGCAGGATTCTGAAGTTTAAATTAAAAGGTAAACAAAACCAGAAGAAATATTTGCATAAGCATTCAGGCTCCAGATGAATGAAAACACTTGTTCCCAGTCGGCTTTCCTGACTCACAGTGGGGATACAGGGCAGAACAGAACTGCCCTGCAGGGGTTTCCAGGTTGTCAGTCTTTAAGGAAGCAGAAGGTCCAATCTTTCTCCTGTAGCTGGTGGGTATGAACCACCCACCTTTTGGTTAGCAGCCCAGTGCTTAAACACTGTGCCACCAGGGTTCCATAGACAAGAAAGTAAGTAGGTAGGTAGGTAGGTAAATGGGATAAAAGAAAGGCAGAAAGAGAGAGATGAAAATCCTTATGAAAATCAGTAACATAACCAATAGAAAAGCAGGCCAAATATTATAGAAGTGTATTTAGGATCTCACTTGTGTTTTATATATTCTTTATGTTAATAAATTTTCCAGAAACATACAAAGTAAAGTTTAAATGTATCATGTACATGTGTTACTTTTAAGAGTCAGAAAAAAATTATTTCTCTTCAAACTGCAACTAAAACTTTCAAAAACTAATAGGAAAAGCAACAATTTCCCTGTTCTTTTCCAATTCTATAGATTACTCACTCAATCTCATTTTCAAAACTATTCTACATTTAGAGCAGTTAGCCGGGTGGGTCTCCGGAAGGGCCAGCTCTTTTTCGGGTTGTTTCCTATACCCAATGATACCAAGCTTTCCCTCTGGCTTTTCTTTCAGGTGTTGTCATTGTTAAGTGTCGTCAAGTCAGTTCTGACTCACAGCAACCCTACGTAGAGTTTCCAAGGAGCAACTGGTAGGTTTGAACTACCAACCTTGCAGTTAGCTGTCCAGTGCTTACTCTACACCCCCACACCAGGACTCCTTTCTTTCAGGTAATAGAATTTATATAGCAGAGGAAGCAAAGAGAGAGAAAACAAATCATTTTCCCAAAGAGTTGCTACAGTAACCAAATAAATTACACAATTTGTAAGACACAAACTCTAAACTATAACCTCTGCAAGAGCATAAAGACCAAATGGGCATTGTGGGAAGGAAATGCGGTGGTTCTTATGGAATATAAAGTTGAAGTCCAAGGACACAGCTCATATTCATCTCTCCACTATTTTACTGCTAAAAAGGGGTATGGATAAAACCATTCAAGCAAACAACTCCTGGCAAGCCCAGCTCTCAGGAGACAGTCTGACTCGAGTTCCTCATCATCAGGGACAAACTCAAAGCAACTCCAGCCAAGTGAAAAACAGCCTTCTGGCAGGTAATACAAGAAATAAAAAACTTATTTTCTTCACAAAATGAAGAGAACAGCTAGGGGAGGCTACATGGGTAAGAAACACAGTGGAAGTGGATGATTTTACCTTGAACCAGTAGAACCAGAGCCAATTACCAGAGATGTTACGTCCTCTTCTTGACTGAGATCACTATATCAAAATCAAAGGAGAGACCAGAGTGGCACCTGCCACAACCCTTTGTCTTTGCCTTTCCTGGTTCAATTATTATAAAACATTCCTGATGAATGGCAACACTTAGAAGTTTCTGTAGTGGGGTAACATCCTTTGCATATCACACAAGTGTCAGCCCAGACACAAACATGCCAACTGTGATAGTGTGTGGACAAAATACAGAAGAGTGTTTCTAGAACAACTGTCCCAAACCCAAAGCTGCCTCCAAGTCACCTCATGAGTGGTTTACCTTCCACTCTCAGCTCTGTTACACAATAGAGTATTACTTGGTTTCTAGGTAAGGCTAAATTAGCTAAATGAGGATTAAACTACTTAGAAAAATTAGGAGCATTAAGTAGAGAGCTGTATTACTATAATTTTAATGTCAGGAGAAATTTAGACTCTATTCTAATTCCTAGAAGATATAACAAACCCTTCTTTCTGTCCTCTTCTATCGCCCACCTGAGGTCCCACCCAAACCACCCCCCCACCACCACTAGCTTAGCCCTAGCAACTAAATTGAACAATCCTAAATATGAAAATATGAGAGCCAGGAACCCAAAGAACTTCTAGGGAAAATTTATGGGGTTTTTTGTTGTTGTTGTTGTTGTTGTTGTTTTAAATATAACTGTTGTCGTTAAATGCTGTTGAATGGTTCTGACTCATAGCAACACTGTAGTGCAGCTGGTGGGTTTGAACTGCTGACCTTGTGGTTCACAGTCTAGTGCTGATCCTACAGCACCACACCAGGAGTCCTTAAATATAATACAAATCCTTTAAAGAAAATTTAAAAGATAAAGAAAAGTTCTTTACTTGTCAAATGGAGTCTTACTCCTAGGAACTCTATAGAAAAGAAAAGTCACTTCACACGGTTTCCCAGGCTGTAAATCCTTATAGAAGCTGACAGGACAGCCCTGTCTTTCTCCCCAGGGAGCAGATGGTGGGTTCCAACCATCAACCTTATTTAGCAGCCAAGCACTTAAGCATTGTACCACCAAGGCTGCTTATTATCTTAAAGTGCAAGTTAATTACTAACCATTTCATTCTTTTTTACTTCATTTTGTTTCTATATACAGTTGATCATATATTTCATAATTATATGCATTTCATTATATGTTGTTAAGTGCCAAAGAGTCAATTCCGACTCACAGTGACCCTGTATAGGATTTCCAAGAAGTGGCTTGTGGGCTTGAACTGCTGCAAGGCAGCTAATTATTTATTATGGTGTTTCTCACCATATTTCTCCATTTTGTGATGCATTGTAAATCCTTGATGTTGTTGTTATGTGCCGTAGAGTAGGGTCCAACTCATAGCGACCCTGTACAGGGTTTCCAAGGCTGTAAATCTTTACAGGAGCAGAAAGCCTCCTCTTTCTCCCGCAGAACAGCTGGTAGTTTCGAACTGCTGATCTTGCGGCCTGCAGCTCAATTCGTAACCACTACGCTACCAGAGCTCCTTTGTAAATCCTAGCCTCTATGTCTGTCTGTGAGTTAATGTGCAAAGTTGGTTTGAACTGCAAGGTTGGCGGTTTAAGCTCACCAGCTGCTACTTGGAAACCCTCTACAGGGTCGCTATGGGTCAGAACTTACTCGACGGCACTTAACAACAACAACATGTCTGTGATTGGAATCCTGATGTGACACTGCCAGATAAGCACTGGAGTGCTAACTGCAAGGTCAGCAGTTCAAACCCAGCAGCTGTTCCTTGGAAAAGCTATATGGGTTTGCTATGAATGGGAACAGACTCAACAGCACTTAACAACAAGGCTAATGATTACAGAGAAACTGAGGATTAAGGGTACTCCCACCTTACTAGGGGATGTGACACAAGTCACTACCCTTGGCTTCCCTTGGGAATATGGTCTGGCTCCAATTTATATGACTGGTTTGGATAAGCTGCTCTCCTGCCCTGGATCTTACATCTGCCTCATTATGTCTGACCCCCAGTTCCTAGGACTTCGGGCCCAGCACCTGACCTGACTCATCAGCTCTCACAGCCTGGTGCATTAGCAGCCTGTCTTGTGACCTGCCCATTTTGGGTTCCTCAGCTCTGAGACTACGTGGGTGAGAAGATTGCCCCCAGACTGATCACTGAACTATGAATTAAGTATGTGCCAGCCTCCACAAGGGCATGAGCCAGACATTTTTCTTTAATTGGACAAGTGTGAGTTTAGTGAGCCATTGCAGGGTGCTATAGAACCCTAGGACTTGAGCGGGAGGGGAACTGATACTGAGGACTATGGAGTGGTCTATCAGAGATGTCGAACGGTTGAAATATCT